ATGTGCCACCACAGCCAGCTAATTTTTCTATTTTTAGCAGAGACAGGGTTTCACCGTGTTGGCCAGGTTGGTCTTGAACTCCTCAGGTGATCCGCACGCCTGAGCCTCCCAAAGTATTGGGATTACAGGCATGGGCCACTCCAACCTGCCAAAAATGTATTTTAAAAAAACCCTCAAAGTTGTTTCCTACAAAGACTTCACATTCAGTTATGCTACTTCACTTTAAAGATTTCTTAAACTTCTCTCTTGGAACTACCTTCAAAGTCAGTGCATACTTCTGAACCTGTATGATGGTGGCAAATTTTTACTTGGCAAGTAGACGTAATTTTTGGAAATAGCCCAAAGTTGCCCAGAACCAAGTTTGGTAAAGGTAGTTGACTAAACTGGTTAATAGAAGGCGTGATGCAAAATTACTAAGACTGATTTCCTTAGATGACTATTAAACTACTTCTAAACATAATTACAAAAGAAGAGTTCAAAAGTACATTTGAAGTCATTTTGAATTAACTCTATCATCAGTTAAGTTGAAATGGAGTCATTCTGAAACAACTCTACCATCAGTTGAAATATATTACTCTTTTGAAAATTTGTTTTAAGCTATCACAAAAACAAACAATGAAGTGTGACCTCTTCTATGAGTCTATCATTCAATGATCTACATCAGGTAAGCATCACCACAGCCACAGTGCAACATCGTCATTCTTTAAAGTGAGACCTGACTGAGCACTGTGCTTGTTACTGAAATGGATACCAAAAAAGTACATGGTACACAGCCTGCCCTCTAGCAGTTTCAATTGAGAAAAGATGAGTAGGATATAAATGTTATTTTCCAGCCAGGCACAGTGGCTGAGGCCTATAATCCCAGCACTTGGGAGGCCTAGGTGGGCAGATCACTTGAGTTCAGGAGTTCAGGACCACCCTGGCCAACCTGCTGAAATCCCATCTCTAAAAATACAAAAATTCGCCAGGCGGGATGGTGGGCACCTGTAGTCCCAGCTACTCAAGTGGCTGAGGCATGAGAATAGCCTGAACCCAGGAGGCAGAAGTGGCAGTGAGCCAAGATCCTACCGCTGCACTCCATCCTGGGAGCCAGAGACTCCATCTCAAAAAAAAACATAATAAAAATAATTTTTTTTTT